GAAAAATGACGAACCTGCCACCTGCAAGATCACGGTGCCCTCTCGACTCAGGTTTGCAATCCGGACCTGACATCGGTACGGCCCTCGGTCCTCCAGCCGCACGTGGCGGATCTCCAGCGTGACATTTCCCTCTTGCGTGTCTCTCTCCAGCGCCGTCCTCCCCTTAAATTCCGGTACCACATCTTCCTCGCGGACTTTGTCATCCCGGAACACGTGAACCACCTGGGAGCGCCCCCCGGGCAAGGACCGGAGCCACCGCACCTCGGTGAGCGTCGGGACCGACCAGAGCGAGAGCGGGCAGAGCAGCTTGGCTGTGCCCCCTAGCGGGGCCAGGTGGAACTGGCCGGAGTCCCCTGTGCGGTGAAAACAAAGGGACAACGCAGTCTGGGAGGGATGCGAGAGTTCAGCAAAGGATGAAGACGGAGATCACGTGGGGAAGGCTCCTAGAGAGTCTGGGGAGGGCACTGGAAAGGACTGGGGTTACAACAGAACCCCCGAAGAAAGAAGGCCGTGGTCAGATTCCCAGGCAGGAATGAGGTCAGGAACTCCTACCTGACACGTGTCTGGGCAGCTGGAGGAAGATGAGGGTGATGAGGCAGCTGGAGAGCCGGGAGCCAGAGGAACTTACGGTCTCCATCCGAACTAGGGGGACAGACAGGCAGACACCAGAGAAGGCTCGTGAGCTTGATGTGGAAAAGCTACCACCTAGGAGGCAGGGCGGAGATGGAGGCTGCATAGCAGATGCTCTGGAACCACCCAGACCAGAATTCAAGTTCCAGCTCTGCTACTTACCTCCCCGTAACATTGTGGCTTCACTTCCTTGAAACTCTCTTCCACCATCTTTAAAAAGGGCATAAAATTGCCTGCTTGCAGAGTTATTGTGAGCATTGAAGGAGGACAGTGCTCGACATGAAGGCTGGCATCATGGTTAAGTCTATAAATGCCATGAGTGAGAGCCAGGGTGAGACACGGTGTGCCCTAGAGGCACAGGGAGGAGTCTGGAAGATGGAGAATTTATATCTAGAACTAACCTGGTAAACACCAGGATAGGGACCTCTTTTTGCATTTAGGGTCCCAGGCCAAGTCTGGGAAATGCTCCAGGCCAATTTTCCATCCACAGTGGGGCCTGGAGCTCTTTCCCGCCAGCCTTCTCAGTTTGACTCTTTTTTAAAAATATTTTTTATTGATTTTTTACAGAGAGGAAGGGAGAGGGATAGAGAGTTAGAAACATCAGACATCGATCAGCTGCCTCCTGCACACCCCGTACTGGGGATGTGCCCGCAACCAAGGTACATGCCCTTGACTGGAATCGAACCTGGGACCTTTCAGTACACAGGCCGACGCTCTATCCACTAAGCCAAACCGGTTAGGGCTCAGTTTGACTCTCAAGAAACAACAAACCAAGGCAGTAAGGTCCTGCCATTTCATTATGAAGGCACCTATCTTGCAAACTCAGGGTCTGGAGTTAGAAAGACCTGGGTTCAAGTCTCAGTCCCCCAGGCACTAGCTCTGTGTCCCTGGAGAGTTGTACAACATCTGTGGATCTCCAGGTCTTAATCTATAAAGGAGGAACCTTCTTCACAGGGACTGTGAGGGTTCAAAGAGGGTTCAAAGGCATGTGAAGAGCTCGCCACAGAGAACAACCAAGATGGCGGCAAAGATAAACACCTGAACTTGCTGCTGCACACAACCACATTAAAACTACAACTAAAAGACAAAACCAATACCATCCAGAACCATGGGAAGGCTGGCTGAGTGGAAATTCTACAACTGGAAGGAATGAGAAAAGCGCATTGAGCCCAGTAGGATGTGCAGAGGTGTGAAGTGTGGAGGTACAGAGGCGGTAGGAGGTGCAGAGGTGTGAAGTGTGGAGGTACAGAGGCACACAAAAGGGGCTGGCAGCTGGATACGCTGTTGTCTTTTTCAACCGGGAAGGAGATACAAGCTCCTGACTGCTCTGAACTCCAGTTCCGGGTGAGAATTTGGGGACCCAGACTCATACGGAGAGAAACTGGACTGCCTGGCATCAAGCCAGAATGTGAAGGCAGCTTTCTGGCAGAGGTGCTTGCAGCGGTCATTGTTCCTGCATGGGGCCGCGGGACACAGACCCCAGGACCTCTCCAAGGCAGAGCAGACTGGCAGCCATTGTAGTTTGCTCTGCCCTGGTGACTCCCTGAAACCCTGCCCCACCCACCCAATTTACAACCTCACCCAAGCTGTGCGCAGAGGTTTTTGCATATGAATGGCCTGGCCTTTCTCTGCCTAAAACCTGGGCAGACTCAGTGAGCGCCAAAACCCCACTGAAGCAAGTCCTGATCCATAAGGTTGTCTCCAGCACAGAAGTTCTCCCATTGTAGACACAACTGGTCCTCACAGCCAATTGACCTGGAGGTCAATTCCTACCAGTGATATCAACAGCAATCAAGGCTTAACTACAAAAATACTGTGCACACAGCCCACAAAGGGATGCACCAAGAGTGTCAACCTCAGGTAATTAGGGAGGCTGAGCCACTGGGTCCTATAGGACACCTAGCACACGAAGCTACTCTATCAACACAGGGAAGCAGCCAAAAAGTGGAGACCA